AGATTAAAATATAGAAAACGATTATATTCTCTCTTATATCAGTCCATCTCCTACTCTCAGTCTCACACTATCACTTCACTCTAGCTTCCATCAATGGCCGCTTCTCTCTATGGTTCTCTTCCTCTGCTGTTTCTTTTCTACATTTCTGGCATTTTTCTACGGGCGGTGGCCGTTGATCAGACTGTCAAGACTTTCATCTTCCGTGTGGACGCCGAATCAAAGCCGTCCATATTCCCCACTCACTACCACTGGTACACTTCCGAGTTCGCCGAGTCGAGCCGTATACTTCACGTTTATGACACCGTTTTCCATGGCTTCTCCGCCTCGGTAACCCCAAGCGACGCTGCTGCTTTAAGTAAGCATCCGTCGGTTCTCGCTGTTTTTGAGGACCAGAGCCGGGAGCTACACACCACTCGTTCTCCTCAGTTCCTCGGGCTACGGACCCAGCAGGGTCTGTGGTCTGAATCTGACTACGGATCCGATGTTATTATTGGACTTTTTGACACCGGAATCTGGCCGGAACGGCGAAGCTTCTCGGATGAGAACCTGGGTCCGGTGCCGGCGCGGTGGAAAGGAGTTTGCCAGGCTGGCGTCAGATTCAGTCCTACGAACTGTAACCGGAAAATAGTTGGAGCGAGGTATTTCTCTAAAGGTCATGAAGCGGCAGGAAGATGGGAGGGTCCTGTTACTGGAATCAACCAAACAATTGAATTCATGTCACCGCGAGATGCAGACGGTCACGGCACTCACACGGCCTCAACCGCCGCCGGAAGATACGCATTTGGCGCTAGCATGGAAGGATACGCCGCGGGGATCGCTAAAGGAGTGGCGCCGAAAGCGCGTGTTGCGGTTTACAAAGTTTGCTGGAGAAATGCCGGTTGTTTCGACTCAGATATTTTAGCGGCTTTCGACGCCGCAGTTAATGACGGAGTCGATGTTATATCAATTTCAATTGGCGGCAGCGATGGTGTTTCGTCTCCGTATTATCTCGACCCAATTGCAATTGGGGCTTATGGTGCCGTTTCCAGAGGGATTTTTGTGTCCTCCTCGGCTGGGAACGAAGGGTCCGATGGTATGTCTGTCACGAACATTGCTCCGTGGCTCGTTACCGTTGGGGCGGGGACGATAGACCGGACTTTTCCCGCCGAAGTTATTCTCGGAAATGGCAAGAGGATAGACGGTGTGTCCTTGTACTCTGGTCCTCCATTGAAAGATAAAATGTTTCCTCTGGTTTACCCTGGCAAGTCAGGGGTGCTCTCTGCTTCGTTATGTATGGAGAACTCACTTGATCCTAACCTTGTGAAGGGGAAAATCGTGATTTGTGATCGGGGGAACAATCCAAGAGTTGCTAAAGGTTTGGTGGTGAAAAACGCTGGAGGTGTTGGCATGATTCTGGCTAACGGAGCTCAGGCCGGTGAAGGGCTGGTCGGAGATGCCCACCTAATTGCTGCTCTTGGCGTTGGGTCCGACGAAGGAGATGCTGTAAAAGCTTATGCTTCCTCGACTTCGAATCCAACGGCCACCATTGATTTCAAGGGTACTCTGCTAGGAATCAAACCGGCTCCCGTCGTGGCTTCGTTTTCAGGGAGAGGACCTAATGGGTTAAACCCTGAAATCCTGAAGCCGGACCTGATCGCTCCCGGTGTTAACATTCTTGCTGCTTGGACTGACGCAATTGGTCCAACTGGATTGGACCCTGATTCCCGCAAAACAGAGTTTAACATTCTTTCTGGAACCTCAATGGCTTGCCCTCATGTGAGCGGTGCGGCGGCGTTGCTGAAATCCGCCCACCCTGATTGGAGCCCGGCCGCAATTAGGTCCGCCGTGATGACCACAGCAAACATAATTGATAACAAAAATCTATCAATGATTGATGAGGCCACTGGGAAGCCATCAACACCTTACGATTTCGGTGCAGGGCATCTGAATCTCGATCAGGCAATGGACCCAGGTCTCGTCTATGACATCACCAACAATGATTATGTCAACTTTCTATGCGCAATCGGTTACCGCCCAAAGGTAATTCAGGTGATTACTCGATCAGTGGCAAATTGCCCGGCAAAGAAGCCACTGCCGGAGAATCTCAACTATCCTTCTATCGCTGCATTGTTCTCAACCTCCTCCAAGGGGCCACAAAGCAAGACGTTCATCAGAACGGTGACAAATGTGGATCAGCCCAACTCCGTTTACCGGCCGAAAATCGAGTCACCGAAAGGGGTGACCGTGACGGTTAAGCCTACTCAGCTGGCGTTCACGGAGGCTGTGAAGAAGCAGAGCTTTGTGGTGACTGTAACGGCGGACACCAGTAACCTAGTCCTGGGTGATTCCGGTGCCGTTTTCGGGTCTCTGTCTTGGACTGACGGTAAGCACGTAGTTCGGAGCCCCATCGTAGTGACCCAATTCGAAACTTTCTAATCTCCAAATTCCCGATCAATGAGGGATTTGATCGAACGGCGTCTGTTAGAAGAATGAACAACTCTGCGAGGTGTAGCATATTTGTAGAACGACGGCGTCTAGTAGTAATGTGTTTTGTTTTCAATCTTTTTTTGGCAGGAGTTTTTTTTTTTTTTTCTTAAATCTCTATAAAAAGCTCTTGTATTTACAAACTTAGAAGTTTATATATACTCTTTACTTCTAAAAAATATAAATTTTATTTCTCATAACTGACGTAACGGTAAAATAACTTATATAATCAACATTAAAAATCGAACACCAAAGTTTCTTGGGTCTTTTTTGGGATGATAATATAAAAAAAAAAAAAAAGTATTGTGTGATTTGAATTATAGTTGAGTAAATAATTTAAATTATATTTATTTATTTTGGTTGCATAATGATTAATGAGAGATAATTATTTTTTATTCCTTATTACATCTTATTCACATGACATGTGACTTGAACTCAGTATCTCTTACTTTCAGTAAAATGACATGATTTATTTAGATCGTTCGTAATTTAAATTATTAAATGGAGATAAATTTTTTAATATTAGCGAATCTTTTTCTCTTATTTGGTACGGAATAATTTTTATTTTATAATTTAAATTATAAAATAACTAATTCATAATAATTGTTAAAATTAAATATGAATTTTTTGTTTTGCAATTTTAGATTGCAAAATTAAGACCTTTGAAAAAGAGAAGAGAGAAGAGGGGCTAATATCTAGGGTTCTTCCCTTATATAAGGATAATATTTTTATAATTAGATACAGTTTAAGTTAAAAAATAAATTTTCAATTAAATACTTATGAGGATTTTATTTTGGTCACTAACAAAAATAATAAAACATACCAAAAATTAAAAAATATTATCTTTAAAAATACTAATATTGTTTGATTTAATTAATAAAAATAATAACTATAATTATTAATTAATAATTAATAAAATTATTAATACTTATTAATTAATAAAAAGTAATCAATAAATTAATTTTTTAAATACTATTTAAAAAAACTAAAATTTTAATAATCTTAATACTTTTTATCACGGCAATAACATATCTTATTCATAGACTTGAACCCCAGATATTCCCAAATGTTACATATGTTTTATATATTTAATTCAGTACATTGATTCATGTTCGTGTGGTAATTTTCTCCAAATTCCCCCATTTATAAGAAAAAAAAAATCTCACTAGATGTTGTCTTCTCAAAATTCCCCTTTTTTACCATTTAGATTCTTAATTCTTATTCAAAGGAAAGGAAAGGAGAGAAAAAGAAGAGAAGATATTTAGGGGGGAAAATAAAGTAGAAAAGAAAGGTAATTGATTGATTTTAATTTTGTGCTTGGTTCCCATCCATGTATACACTTAGGGCCATGAATGGCTAAGATTAATAAAGATAGCAGACCCCTCTAAATGTCAATAGTATTTACTTTAAACCTAATTTCTGTCGCATTGTCTATGAATACAAAGTAAATTTATAGGGGACAAAGGAGGCTTGCCCCCTTCAGCTTTCATTTCCTTGTATGCATTATCCTTATCTTCTTATTGATGCTGACATTCAATAAAACACAAAAGAAATGAAACTTGGTGGATCCTGCAAACAGGAAATTTGTACCCTCCATTTAATCCTCCTATATCTAGCCTTTCAGCCATCCTTGTATCATTCATGTTTAATCTAATGGAAAAAAGGTAAATGTAATCTGTCATGGGAAAGTTGATTCAAAATATTATTTAACTGTAAAATTGAATAGCTAATTTATATTCTATGTCTAGTAAAGACACAAGCATAATTCAAAAACTTTTCAAAAATTAATCAGATTTCATCCAGCTAATTGACAGAGATCACTAAACAAGGATTTGAATGTAGATGGTGTGTATGACTTTGAAAGTTTTGTCAAGTAAATGAGTAAAAAGCCTAAAGGGGGACAAATGAAGTTGGAAACACCGCTAAAGGAGGATTCTTTCTTTTGACAAGATCCTACCTGCTACTATCAACTAAAACTAAAAGCAGAATTAATACTTTTAATTCTTTGTAAGCTGCCTTTAGAAAACAGAAAACTTTTTAGCTCTGGTGAGTGAGTGTGCATCTGATGTGGAAGCCAGTTCAATTCCAACTAAGTGAATGGCAACGTTTGATTAGACATCCTTATCCTAGACCAAAAAAAATCTTTAGAATTGGAAATCAACCGACACTGAAACAAGGTTACAAGACTGCAAATCGTGAAAATTGTGCCAACATATGCCACCTTTGCGGGGCTTATGGCTTACCTTGCAGGAATTGAAGTATTGCTACCATGTCAATAAGAAACGCAACAGATAGGATAATGAAAGTGAAACTGGCAGAAAGGATGAGAAGACTAAGGTTTGAGAAGCTTCCTTCAGGAATAGAAAGGAACCCACCAAGCTGCAGAGACTTCAAGAGCAAGATTGAAGTAAGCCCAGATGCAGTTCCAGTAGATGCAAGAGAATCCGATACCCTCATATTCCATAACCTACTAAGAGAAAGCAGTACAAATGTGATTGGAAAGAAGATAACAGTATTTATAGAGAATTTAGCATAAATGATTAGAGAGGACCCTCTATACAAGTTGAGGAGGAGAGGTTAGAAAACAAACAAGAAAGTCATAGAAGAATCCAGGTATGGGAGGTTGGCGTGGATAGGGAGAAGATCTCTTTGCCATCTGGCTAGGATTTTTGGGCAGATTTACACTAGATACTCTTATTAATGGAATGCCTACCAAAATGCTGTATGTTCGGTCTGCCAATATTTCATTCTGGCTTCCATTATGCTCAAAGTTGATTTTAGCCCCAGTCACTTAATTCAGGCCTGAAATGTAGACAGTGACTTTTAAGGAAGGACTTAGCCTGGTCTAAAATTTGCATGTTACTTTGTGTCTCTTTCACCATATCAACAAATTAATAGAGATATCAAGTCACCCCACGAGGGCCCAACTCTATGCAAGTTCAATTATTGGGAAAGTAAGATTGGTGCTCAAAAGTAGTGGCCTGAACATGGATAAAATCAGTGCCTGGCCCATTCTCTATATCATCAATTGCAGATATTGAACCAAATGAATGACCCACCAGCAACCTGGCATGGTGCTGAAGCTGCTGAATGTGGCATTTAACCAGGAAAGTCAGTTGTCCTAGCAGAAGCGGCTAGTTAGACCAGTCCAAGAGAAGTAAATTATTTCTGAATTACAAGAACTAACTACCATTCAAACCCTCCAAAATATACTTCACACTTTAAAGTTTGAAATATGGATCAAATGGCATGGAAGTTGCAGCAAAATGATAATAATTTATATTCAGATTCATGACAACCATCCAAAACCCAGAAACTACAGCTTGAGCGTGGACTTGTCTTCCTTTTCTCAGAGATCCAATCCAATAAGTCCACAAGATGCTATCAGATTCATGAAAACCATGGCATCATGACCTGCTCCATTGTGTCTCACTTTAGATAAAAGCTTTGAAGCATGATAACCATGGACTTGTCTTCCTTTTCTCAGAAGATTATGTTCCATCCCCTCAAAAAATTTTGTAGCACCATCCAAATCCATCCAAAAAAATAAAAAAAAAGGAGCAAATTTCTAGCACCGAATTATTAACTGGTATATCCGAATCAAGTTCCAACTTAAAGATTAAACCATGGATCAATTCACCGAAAGTTCACTAGTCTAAAGCAGCACAACCTCATATAATAATAGTCAATATGGTTGCAACATTAGGAAACAAAACCAAACCTTGCTAACCTAGCTCTTCAAACAGCATGACAGCCTCATCATTGAGACCACTATATATAAATCCTGCAATCATACCATTGCAAGGAGCCAAACGGGTTCTTCAGCCACTCAAATAATTTGTATGAATCAATCACATTTCCGCACATAGCATAAGTATCCCACAGTCCCTACAATCGAATCAGATTGCAATCCATATTTAACAACCAGTACACCAACAGACTGCCCCACGATACAGTCCGTCAGCCCTGAATGCCAACTAGAACGCGAACAACAATGAAAGAATTTGGAACCGAACCCGTTCTTTCCATGCGGAAGAACAATTCGACAGCACCCATTTATGGCAACCAGTGAGCTAAAATGAACCAAAAGACTACATTTCTCTCAGGAATTTCATCAAACAACTTCCCTGCTTCCCTAGTCCTCCCAGTTTTGAAGTAATCGCTCAATTGTTTCGAGGTACCATGAGAATCGACAAGGGGGAAAGAAGGATAATTTTCTAAAACGCAACATCAGAACTCTAAACTCTGGTCTCAAAACGAGTCCGCAGTCGGGCTGGTCTTGTTGGACCCATTAAGTCCGGCCCGTACGAGAAAAGAAACCGCCTAAAGGAAACGACAGCTGTATCTGTATTTTGTTCTTTGTACTGATATATCGTAATTCAAAAATCACATTAAATTTTAATTAAATTGAAGGGAAATTGACTCTAACCTCACCTCAAAAAAATTCCATCAACATTTATTTTTTTAATAAATATTTAAATTTAAAATCTTACCTAAATAAAATTTAATCCTTTCACTTTGACGAAGATGTCGTTGTATTTGTATTAATGACGAAAAACATTTGTATTAACGACGAAAAAGACAACTAATTTAGAACGCGGATGTGACACGACATCTTCGCCGACAGCCACGTGTCGCTTAATTACTCTTTTTCTGCGAAACCGACACGCCGTTTTGTTTACTTCAGTTCTAAGATTATCCAACCTTACAAAATCCCCCCCTCCGTTTTCCTCCGATTCAGACAGAATAGAACACCAGTTGACTCCACAATCGAACTGATCCGATCATGTCTTCCTTTCAACAATCCCAAACCCGGAAATCTCTTTACCCAGAAGTCATTCTCTCAAACCCAGAAGCTGCTTCCGTCGCCACTTCCGGCTCTTCTTCCTCTTCTCTGTACCCATCAATTGACTTGACAGATCTGGCGGAGAATCTCTTCCCAGAGGATGATGCCGCTCAGGTGCCCCCACCCCAGGAACAACTCCTCCTCAAGATCCCTGGCGCAATTGTTAATCTCATCGAAAGGGAAAACAGTGTCGAGCTTGCTTGCGGGGAGTTCTCCATCGTTATTCTTCTCCAGGGTGATAACCTCGTTGCAGTTTTTGCTCGTGTTGGGGATGAAATTCAGTGGCCTTTGGCTAAAGACGAGCCTGTTGTTAAGCTTGATACCTCTCACTATTTTTTCACTCTTCGTGTGCCCACGTCCCCTGAGGAAGGTAAAGAAACAGAGGAGTTCTTGAACTATGGGTTGACCATAGCGGCCAAAGGGCAGGAGAAGGTGTTGAAGGAGTTAGATAAGGTTCTGGAGATGTACAGTTGTTTCTCGGTGCAAAAAGTTAAGGAGATGGAGAATTGGGAGGTTCTTGATGCAACAAAGGTGTCGCCTGAGGAGATGGAGAGGAAGGAGAAGAGGGAGGAAATGGTGGAGAGTTCTACCGCATATTGGACGACACTGGCGCCTAATGTTGAGGACTACAGCGGATGTGTGGCCAGGGCGATTGCTGCCGGATCAGGGCAGCTTGTAAGAGGGATATTATGGTGTGGTGATGTGACTGTGGATAGGTTGAAGTGGGGAAACGAGTTTTTGAAGAAGACGATGAAGCCAGGTTCGAGTGCAGAAATTAGTCCGGAAGCCATGAAAAGAATGAAAAGGTTTGTTCTTTATCATTCATTTCATCTGACGGGCAAATAATGTTTTTGTTGTGATTTTAATCAAATATCAAAGCTCTGTTTTTCTCTAGTCCTCTGTTTTCTTTAGCAGCATTTGATGAATGTGTATAATCATTTCAGGGTTAAGAAATTGACAAAGATGTCAGAGAAAGTGGCCATCGGAATCCTGTCCGGGGTTGTTAAATTCTCCGGATTCTTCACCAGTGCAGTTGTGAACTCCAAAGCCGGAAAGAAATTTTTCAGCCTCCTTCCTGGAGAAATTATTCTCGCATCCCTGGATGGCTTCAGTAAGTTCTTCCTCTCAAATTTAATTTCTTAATTATAATTGAAATCATGCTTTCCCCACCTGGTATCTTAATTCCGTTACCTTGTTTCCTATGTATCTAAATACAGACAAGGTTTGTGACGCGGTCGAAGTTGCTGGAAAGAATGTCATGTCAACTACATCAGTTGTTACCACTGGTCTTGTTTCACAGAGGTACTTCATACTGGTTCTCAAAGTTCTTTCTTGAATTGCGATATTAGCAGCAATTTTGCCATATTGGTACTATAGCTGTTCTGTGTACATGAAATTTTTTTTTTTTGTCAATGCTGCAGGTATGGAGAAGAGGCAGGGAAAGTGACAAATGAAGGCCTTAGTGCTGCGGGGCACGCCGTGGGAACTGCCTGGGCTGTGTTCAAGATTAGAAAGGCTCTCAACCCCAAGAGTGTTATGAGCCCCACAACTCTAGCTAAAGCTGCTACACAAGCAAAAGCCTCTGAATTGAAGGCCAAGAAGAATTAATCGTACTCGTTATATGAGCTCTAAAATTAGGGATTGTATCATTTGTTTGTTCATTCAATCTTGTGTTTATTCTCGTTAAAAATTTCAAAAAATGGGTTGTTCTAAGAACACTTTTGGTCGGTTTGAGAACATGATTTTGAGAGAGTATATAGTTTTTACATAAATAAAGTGTAATTGATTTTGCATAAAATACATGTGTTTTACTTTGTGTATTTGAAAGAGATAAAAAACGTGTATTTCAAATTCATCTATAAATCCATGAATTTCAAATTCAAAATGAATTTACCCTGCACCTGACCATTTGGGCCAAGAACCCTTCAGGCTAAGGACCCTTCCAGCTATTTTGAAAGTGCAATTCCCTCTTTTCTGGTGGATTTGAAGTTTGAATCCCAATCTTGTCACTTTGGTCAAAAAAAAAAAAGAATCTACCCTACACGTTTTCCGCACGTGTACGGTAATGAAGACTCCATCATGACTTCTGTTCATCATCAATTTTGCCATTGCTCTCTCACCTTCTTGCTATCGATCATTGAAACCACTCTGCAATTGTGCATCTACCCCTAAGTTTTCATCATCTCTCTCAACAGTAGGTTTTAGATCTAAGTCCTAATCTTTTCATTGGATTTTCCTTCTTTCGATTTGTTGTTCTTGTTGTTTTTTCGTTCTCCTCAAGTGATTTGCTTTCATAGGTAGTTACCCAATCTTTTGGATTTAAACCTAGTAGTTTTGCGTTTAGATCTTTATCTCCTTACTCTTTTCTTTCCTTAATATTCTTTCTTTTTCTTGTATAATTTGCTAGCAAAATTAACTCCATTTTTGGTAGATTACAAATTAGTTTAAGTTTTTTTATAGTTTCATTTTGCTGATAAAAGCCCCATTTTTGGTAAATTACAGATTTCGGATGGGTATATTCTTAAACAGAGGAATTTTTAAAGTGATTCAGTTCCGTGTGCTTAATATTTGAGTTTTCAATCAATAGTTGCAATTGTTAATCCCTATTTTTCAGTGTGTCCATCGTTTAGCATGTCCATCATTCAGCTTTTGTCCAATTCCAAACTTGCTAGTTCTTTTTTCCCCAATTTTTCTTTGTCTATTTCATGAAAAATAGAAAAACAATCTTGTTTTTATCTGTGCAGTCTTCACTTCCAGTAGCTAGAGCAGACAATTTTTACTACCCTCCAAAAATGGACCCGAGCCAACTAGATCAAGGCATTTTGATTATAAGGTAATGAATCACAACTCATGCTTAGTGTTTTAAGGTATTAAAATTTTTATTTATGTATTTCAGTATTTGTAATTTATGGAGACTTGTCTTCAAGTAGTCATTTGATAATCAATGGTAGCAAAGTCCATGTATGTAAATAAATGGGTCATGTATCAAATGATACTTCATTGTGATTCAGTTGTTGCAGTTTGATTGGCATTCAAAGGTGTAATCTTTTCTCTTAAAGGGGAGCAACATGCTTCTTTGTTAGTTTTGGAAGAATTTCTTGAATAAAACGTCATGTCTCAAGAAAATAGTATAGAACTGCAACTTAAATAACTCTAGTGGAACACATTACAGAACAAGATAAGAAAAATGGATTCTGATTTCTAAAATCAACTAATGTTCCGTTAATGGTAATTAGTGAGGTACAATCGCATATTAAATATTTTAAATTAGTTGGGATTGTTGATAATTGTTCTAGTATGATATCTGTATGTGTAGTCTTTTGTCATTTTTTCAGTGAAAGGTGATCAGCAATTGGTTGAAATACAAATGTGATTGTTTTATTGGAATATAGCTGCACTAGCAAAGGCACAAGTTGGGATAATACCATAGCTGCAAATTTCATTGTTTCATAATAGATAAACTCATTCAATAAGATTCATGAAGCTCTAAGGATGACCTATGTTTCCAATTTCTCCAAGATACCTCTTGTTCTCAAAAAAAGAACTAATGTATATCCCTATGTATGACATTCTACCACTTCATTGGTATCGGTCTTTCACACATACTTGTGGTTTGAGTTCTGGATGAGAATATGTTTTAAAATTAATAGTCTTATTTAATTTATATTAAATATTGATTAGAAGAAAATTTAATTTAATAGGAAAATTTTAATTTTAAATACAAAAATAGGGAGGTACGAGCCTTTCACACATATTTGTGGTTTGAGTTGTGGAAGAGAACATGTTTTAAAATTAGTAGTCTTATTTAATTTATATTAAATATTGATTAGAAGAAAATTTAATTTAATAGGAAAATTTTAATTTTAAATACAAAAATATTTTAATATATTTAAATAATGTATTTAAAAATACATATATTTTAAATATATGTATTTAAAATACACATTCCAAATACAAATATATGTTCCCAAACATATCCTTTAATTTTTTTTTCCATGGGTGTAATATATTGAAATTTTCATTATAGTAACAGGATTATTGGTTCTTCTTCACCCACAATCTGCATATAATTATAACCATTAATTTTATGGACTCCTGCATGACTTTTAGTAGCTAGTTTTAAACGGCTTGTAAGTTTTGAGATCAAGAACGACTCCGGCAATGGATCCCACGGCGGCCGCCACCGTGACAAAGAAACAAACCACGCTAAGTAGTTTCAGGGCCAGCCAACGGCTGGTTGCTCGTCCGATCTTCTTTTGTGAGATATACATCTCAATGGGGAAGTATACTGTCAATGGCCAGAATCCCATTGCTCCAAGAAACCCAACGACATCGTTGAAGAAGGGCAAGAGCATGGCAATGATAGTCGTTGTCGCTACAAACACAGTCCGCCATACCAGGCGGAAGACATTCAGCTGGTAAACGCCAAAGAAAGGGATGGGAATCTCGTATTCCGCCGTTACAAAATCACTGTTGGGCCAATTCTGAGCGCACCATTTCTCCACAAAAGCAAACAGAGGCTGGCAGAACACCTGGTATGCGCCGACAAGGTGGATGACAATGGCGAGATTAGCAATGTCCACGAGCCAGTAAGGATTGTAGAATCCAAAGCCCGTTAGTAGATTTCCGGGGGCATTGTCGCCGAAAGCTGCGTATCCCAGGCATCCACAGAACAAATAGAACACTGTGGTCACAGTTATGCTGAATAAAGTTGCTTTTTTCATGGTTTTATACTCTGCCGGAGGAGATTTTACTGTGTCCTGAATTTCAATGAGGACGACAGCGTATGAGTAGGCAAAAGCAATAGCTCCGAGCGCCTGTAAAGTCCGCCATAGCTTCTGCATTGCGGTGACCCTCCCAGCATGTGTTGTTACTGTTCCTATGCTGATACCCAGCAGGCTTCCTTTGAACACGCCGTTTTCTGGAAACAAGGAAAATCATTTCAAACATTTCATCTGTACCAAACAGGGGTTAGTTAATTAGTTATAGCTATTTTTGGTACCTGCAACTTTGCCAATACCGAGTCCAAGACCAACAGAGGAGTAAGTGAAGGACATGATTGCTGCAACTATGGAGAGCCACCATACTTGATTGAAATCTGGGATTTGAGAAAAAATCACCTCCGCAATCCCAAATGTTATCATATACCCATTACTTGACATGTGACATGAATCTTTTCCTCCACTCTTGTGGAAACAGTTTGATCTCTTTATTGCCCTATACACAAAGTATTATCTGTAAATGCCTTCATTCCCAAAACAGAGAAAAATAAATGAATTCACCGAAGATTACTCACATCATGCTGACTGATGCTGCTATGGTATACCCAATTGCCACTCCGAACAAATTCAAGTACTGGATCAACCCGCATAGCACAACCTTCTTTCCTCCTGAAACAGAGAAAAGAAATTTATTTGATGGCCAATTTATGCTAGTCTTATGTAGTAATCGGAAGTGGTCTTTACCTAAGTTAGCCTTGACAGCATCCATGTAGGTATAGTTCCTCTGTCCTGTGACCGGATCACCAGACCGGTAACACTCAGAGAGGAGGTTGGAAGTGCACAGATTGACGATGGCAAAGAGGACCAAGACCATTGGTCCTGCAACCCAACCAAGCTGAGCTATGGCCCATGCCAATGACAACACTCCTGAACCTATGACAGCAGTGACTATATGGGATGTTGCAGTCCAAAAAGTCCCTACATCACAATATGTAATAAAATTGAGTAATGCAAAAGGGATTTCTCCAGGATGTTAGAGGTGAATTTGAGGACATTTAGTTTAATTACCTGTTCTCTTTAAACGGCCATCGTCATCAAAACACTTGGTATAGTTCGATTGAGGGTTCATTGCCTCGGCCTCTTGACGTGCTTTAGGTTGAACTTCTACTTGTAAGTAGTGCCTGATGTCTTGCCTTTCTTCTACCTAAAGCATAGACCAAACGTCAATGTTAGAAAAGAACAAGAGAGGTTGAAAAGCTTATCTAGGTTGATAATGTTACGTACAACACCATGGTGGATTCTGCTTGGAAGGGTACGACTCCTTGGCAACATGGCTTTGAATACTTAGCCCAAATGCTGTGCAGATAAGGAGAAGAGAGGAAGAAACAGAGGAAATATTGAGAAAGAAAGTTGATTGATGCCTTTAATTTTGAGGGACACTAGCTTTTATAGGAGAAGATAGTGCGTTCATGGTCACCATGAAATAGGTGCAATCGTGTAACACGCCCTTCAGTGCATATCCCAAAATTAATCTCCTCATCTAACTCCTGAGTAAAAGTGGAAAAGTGGCGAAGAAAAGTTCAAGACGATTAGTGTCCAAGTTATTAACTAGAAGAAATGCCAAAATATCAAGCAAAAAATATACTATCATCCTCAGTAAGCTAGAATGGAGGCATTGAGCATCAACCCTTGGGATGTTAATTACATTCTTATGTCAGGATACATAATACCTGGCCAGTCTTGGATTCCCAGTGCTCTATCCTTCATGATGCAGTCTTCAATTATAGTAAAATACATATAATTCGAACCATTATTATGTCATTAACTATGCTATTAAGAAAAAGGCCAAAGCCCCTATTTGCACCCTCCATTTATTTGTTTTCCGTGGTCAACACCTTCCAGAATTTTTCCTCTCTATTCACACTCTCCACTTTTCAAAACCCGTGAAAAACCCAATATTTTAACGGGCCGTCACGGTTCCGTTAATAACCGTTAAAAATTGTAATACGTGACATTAAACAGTAACATAATCCAACGTGGACTTTTTTTTTGATGATATGGCATAATAAAATT